TAGCCTGGGATTACGTGCCTTACAATCCTGATAAATGTTTTTGCAACTGCAGCCTGTGACTGACTTAGGTCAATTCCTGCCTGTTGCAAAACGTAGAAATCAGCTGCTGTTGCAGTTGATCGTGATCACACCACCTACTCTTCTAGGACAGCAGTGGCTGCAGTCCATATTGCTCTTATGCGCACAAAACAATGGTGTGAGCAACATCAAACTCCTGGACCACACTCGTTACAAATCTTCCTTCTTCCAGTTTCCCGGGGATTCTTCCTCGCGTGAAGTCACCCTCGTGTTGTCTCTGAGACTTGCTGTAATCAAGAACACCACTACATTCCACAGTAACTTCTCCCTGCTCAGTACACTCCCTCTTGTCCTGTCCCACCAAACCCCTCGTTCTGCGTGCCCACTCCCTTTTGGCTCCAGACTGAAGCCGACCGCTGTATATACAGGGTGGCGAAAAATTACGTGCGCCATAGATTATATTTCTATTTCTCTCCATAATTCTATTTCTTGTCCACGAAAATTGGGAAGTAATTTTATGAAAGCTCAAATCATGACATTTTATAAGTGCAAAGAAGTTTTGGAGTAGCTGCCATCAGTTTTGATACAGGCCTCAAATTGTTTCTTCAGCCGTGGTGCGCGGAGGAGTTCATCGCATATTTCATTCCAAATTTTAGGCAGTTCTTTTCAGAATCACCAAACTTTTTGCATTTCGATTCTTTAGTAGTTCTTCAATAAAACCTCAAACAGAGAAGTCTAATGGATCTGAATTCGGACTGTAAGCAGACCACGAATCCATCGCCACAAAACAGCCGATACTGGTCTCGAAGAAGTGAATCGTTATATTGGCCCATGGGCCCAGCGAACTCCTGTAGAATGATAGAATTGTTTCGATTCTGCTTTCAGGGAATCGCAGCTTTCTGGGGGATCTCTTCTTGATAGACCTTCCCATTGATTTCCACACTTTTATCGATAAAAACCTTTGGAAGCACTGATCCAGCCTCAAATCATCAAATTTTTAAAGACGAAATTCTTACGGGTTTCTTCCATTTACAGATGTTACTGAGAGCTGGGCAAAAGATAAGTGGTGATAGGAGTGATTCCGAGAGTTTTAAGGCACTCAAACGGTGAACTTTTATTTGTGAAACCACAGGGCTCTTGGAACCGCCGCACCTTGAAAAAATCTCGCAACTTCCTACATTTTTCCTTCCGATCTTGCTTTGCTTGAACGGTGGGAAACTGCCCTTTTGGTTTTTGATAGAGTCCATTCCGCGCTTTATTTTTGCTCTCATTTTGACCA